GACGTATTTTCCCGACGTATATATGACGTATTTTCCCGACGTTCAAAGGACGTATTTTCCCGACGTTTAAAGGACGTATTTTCCCGACGTTTAAAGGACGTATTTTTCCGACGTATATATGACGTATTTTCCCGACGTTTAAAGGACGTATTTTCCCGACGTTTAAAGGACGTATTTTTCCGACGTATATATGACGTATTTTTCCGACGTTCAAAGGACGTATTTTCCCGACGTTTAAAGGACGTATTTTTCCGACGTATATATGACGTATTTTCCCGACGTCCAAAGGACGTATTTTCTTTTTTTTTTTAACTGTGCACAGTTACTCTTTTATGATTATAAATTATGATTGTAAATTTTATGGTTATAAAAATTATGATTCATATTACAAGCTGACTGAAATTTTAAAAAGTAAAGGATTTGTTATTTTTTATAACACTAATAGACTGATTCCAACACAGTTAATTAGGGTCTCTAACATGTCGTAATTTAAAAATGCAGAATTTCGTATTATTATTAATAATGCAACTTGGCCAGATAGTAAACTACTTATTCAACTTTATTGTAGTTTTCTGTTTGACAAACACACTAAAATCTACATATGCAGAAATTACAATATTTGCTCAGTTTACTTTGTTTTCTCTGTGTATTTATCGACATAAAATACCATTTTATGCTTTTTTTAGTTTCAGTCTGGTTGTTGTACTCTGATCAGGTTTGAAGAAGCAGACTATGCTGTACCTGTAATGCTTGTTTCAGGACTTCAGGAGACATTTTTAAAAGTAAAGGAAGTGAAACAGAAGGGTGAGAAAACCCGAGCACATTTGTGTTCATATACGCGTTCACTGAGAACGTAGACACTTTTTGTCTGGGGTTAGAGAGCCATGGCAGTAAGAAAATGCTCCAACTGTCTATGGATTCATCTGCATGTTGGAGGACAAAACTTGCACCTTTTTGAAAAAACTTTAAGCTTTAAAATTTAAATCAAGCACAAGTCTAAAGCTCAAACAGTAATTCTGCGTTAGAAAACATAAAAAAAATCCCAGATGTAAGCAGTGTTACTGACTGTCCGTTTACAGGACAACTCCTCGACCTCATGAGTTCTTAAACATCTCCGATCTGCCCAAGTCGTGGGACTGGAGGAACATCAATGGAACCAACTACGTGAGCACGACACGCAACCAGCACATTCCCCAGTACTGTGGCTCCTGCTGGGCTCATGGCAGCACCAGCGCCATGGCAGGTATGACTCAGGTCATGGTTCTTTTACCTGTAAAACACCCCGAGTCTTTGTGATCAAGATCACAATACTGCAGTATATTTGTAGGCCTGTCATGATAAACGATAAATCAATTAATCACATGATAAATGAAAATTATCAACCTCGTTTTCATTTATCGGATTTATCGTTTCTTCATGTCTCTCTTTCTACTGAAGACACTGGAGGACAAAAGGCTCAACTCCTGTGCTCTTCACTGACCCCTCCCTATCTCTTTAAAATCCATTTTAATCGTCCAAAATCGCATTTTTGGATCGTTTAAAGCAGCTAAGCTAACAGGCCGACCTCAGGGGAAAAACCTCCATCTTGTCGAAGCTCCAAAATTCACGGTTGTAACCGTAGAACTTTGTGTAAAAAGTTTTTCTCAGCAAAAAGAAGCTGAGAACTTGTTTACTGATTTTTTTTTATTTTATTTTTTTTTTTTTTATAAAAAGCTTTGCATGAAAAATGCTATGCTAAAGAGCTCAAACCGCACAGAGCGTCTGCTATTTTGAGAACCGAAGAGAGACAGCCCATGTCATGTCGAGGCCTCCCTCCCATTTTTCTTGCTGCTGCTCTCTGACTATCCATCCATCAGTTCATCTGGTGGTCGAAATAAGGTACTACATGCAAAACAAATTAAAACATTTCTTCTTAAATTTGACAAAAATTACTAATTTATTGTCAAATTTCAAACAATATCATTTATCGCAATAATTTGAGACAATCCATCGCCCAGCAAAATTTGTTATCATGACGGGCCTACATATTTGTACCGTTGGTTTCACTTCCGGTTTTCACACAGAGGACTCTTGCCTTTCAGATCGGATCAACATTAAGCGTAACGGAGCGTGGCCCTCTGCCTACCTCTCCGTCCAGCACGTGATCGACTGCGGAGACGCCGGTTCGTGCCACGGTGGGGATCACAGCGGCGTTTGGGAGTACGCCAACAAACACGGCATCCCGGATGAGACCTGCAATAACTATCAGGCCAAAGACCAGGGTAAATGTCCCACCAGGCGCAGAGGGATGACTGCACCAGTGTGATCCTGACGTGTGTGTCCTGTGTGTCCCTTAAGCGTGTAAGCCCTTCAATCAGTGCGGCACTTGCACCACTTTTGACGTGTGCAACATTGTGAAGAACTTCACGCTGTGGAAGGTGGGAGATTTTGGAGCCGTCAGCGGGAGAGAGAAAATGATGGCAGAGATTTACGCCAATGGACCAATCAGGTTTGCAACAGTTTGATTTAATTTATATTGTCATCGTACAGCAACTCTTCCCACAATGTGTCTGCTTTACTTTGTGTTTCACACAAAAATCATCACAAAGAACCCAGGTCCACCCTGCAGCCGTGAAATATATTCTCCCTGATTTTTACAGAACATGTTAAGAGGCTTTTAATGCAGAATACAGTAATTTTATTTTTACACAAAGGTCCCTGCTCGTGTAGTTCTACACTTCAGCAGCATCCAAAACCCAAAGTCTCTTGTTTGTTTTTGTTTAGCTGTGGGATAATGGCCACAGACCAGCTGGATGCATACGCAGGAGGTGTGTACTCTGAATACCAGGAGGAAGCTTTCATCAACCACATCGTGTCTGTGGCTGGATGGGGGGTGGAGGACGGTGTGGAGTACTGGGTTGTCCGCAACTCCTGGGGAGAGCCATGGGTGAGTTCGCAGAAACAATCGGGGCCTTTATCGGTAAAAATGTGTAAATTTGTGGCTCACAAAGGCAGATATCCTGGTGTCGGTTTCATCAAATCCTGGGGTTTATGGTTCTTGCAAATCTCCTGTTGGTTTAATGATTCGTTTGTGCAGACGAAGCTCTTCAGGGAAAGCCGTGAACCCTTTTTTGGTTTTTAAATGCGCAACTTTTGACTGAAGCCAAATTTCATCTCGTGCCTGAAAACGGCAAATGTTTAAATCTTAAGAAGATGACAGTAAATAAAATCAATGTTAGTGGCAGCTCTATGAAGTTCAGTAAACTGTCAGTAAAATAAACAAACTAGGTGAACATCACTGGAGCTTTCTAGAGATTTTAGAATAATGGGTCAGATTGGCTGTTTCTGTAGATCAGCTATTTTTCTGTTAACCCGTTACGGTTATGGGACTGCAGGCGCTTTAATCCATAACTTTTTTCAGAGAAAACGGACGCCCTTCACTGAAGCCGTTAAATTTAACTTCTATGAAAACAGCCGTTTTGTTAAACCAACTGGTCGGTTAAAAAAATGTCTGCAGTTTCCTTTTGTCTGCTTTTTCACATATTTTCAGTTCAGTCCCTGATCCTTTTCAGAAAAGAGTTTTAGTTTTGTTTGTTAAACCATTTTTAGCTCAGACCTGTGGATCATTAATAAAAAATGGTCTTAAACTTAAAGGATGAGTCAACTTTTGTTAACGCACAACAAACAACTTGGTAAACTGTTAAAATTGGGTCTTTGTTGTTTGTCAATAAAACACAAGTTTATTATTTTTTTGACGGACTATGAGAAATGGCAACAATACCTCAGTTTGACCCAAAACCTGTATTTAGCACCAGACAAATTATTTCAAAAGGGGTATTAAATGAAAACCTGGCATACATGTAATGCTGAACTAATTGATGATCCATCTCTCCTGCAGCAGATCTTTGCTGGAGTTTATTTGAAAGTTGTGTATTAGAGAAATAAAGTTCATCTACTACTTTTTAGACTCGACTTCTTCATGTATTCCTCACTTCTCTACTGTCTTTATTGTTAAACACTCACTGCCCAGTATTCTGTCAGTCACAGGTACGAACCATCCTAAGCTGCGCAGCGCGTTGTTTAAACCAACAGTTTTGGGGGACACAGAGAGAGCCGCGCGCTGTCTGAACCGACAGTTATTTGGGTTTTTAGTGTGTGTGTGTGTGTGTGTGTGGGGGGGGGGGGGGGGGGTCGGTACGGGGGAGAGGCAGACGCACATCTGAGCCGTGCGCTGTTTGTACCGACAGTTTTCGAGTGGCGGGGGTGCGTTCACCGCTTGTATAATGGTAGGGGTACGGTTAGCTTCCATGCGATCCCCGAGTCAAATTATCAATCTGAAGCTAAATGAGTCGTAATATTATCCGAACTCCGACACGATAAAGCAGGTTTATCACATTTTAACTGGTAAATTGAAGAATCTCGTTAAGTTATACTGGTTTTACAAATAAGAGAGTTAATCTGTCAGTTTTGGCATAGCAGCTTAAAGACTGTATTTAGTTGATGAAATTGCCTGATACCTCCTCCTCCTCCTCCTCCTCCTCCTCCTCCTCCTCCTCCTCCTCAGGGTGAGAGGGGCTGGCTCAGGATCGTGACGAGCGCCTACAAAGGAGGAAGTGGCAGCAAGTACAACCTGGCGGTGGAGGAGGACTGTATGTACGGAGACCCCATCATCCCTAAAGAGCACCGTTAGACAATAAATCGGGTTTAAGGTTGAGTCGGGTCAGAAAGAATTCTTCAGTCTGACTGAAGAATTCTTTTGGAAAAGAGACAAAACGTTTCAACAAAGGAGGATCTGACTCAACCATGTTACGTTTATCAACCTGGATTGTTTTCATCAGGACAATTTTCTGTCCCGTCTTCCAATAAGAGCAATGAATGGTAGCTTTTTATAATCAGTTTTAAAGGGAATTATCTTTTAATTTTATGCAAAGAGGCAGGCTGTCCAACAGCTCAGAATGTTTTTATCTGGGGGGGGGGGGGGGGGGCGATGCACAGCAAGGCAAAACCTTTAGTCTTTAGTCCATATTTAACCTCAGCCTTTTGTATTCAGACAAGTTATTTGTAAATGAAACCTGCTCGGCCAAACCAAAGGACTGATGATGTTTTCAGTGCAGTGCGAGCTGCAGATGTTGCACTGCTGTTAAAGTAAAAACTTTGTGCCTTAAACACACTAAGCACTTGATGTCCAGCTTAGATGAATGACATTGTTTATGTTGAACAAACTGCACAAATTTAAGCTAAAAAGATTTTCTTGATTTCATACTATGAGAATAAACATTTTGTGATGCATCTTTTGAGTTGAGTGTTATTTGTTAAGGCTACAAACTAAAAAAAGGTTGTTTTTTTTTATAGAGACATGGTTGTAAAAAATGTACTCTTTTGATTCATTCAGCTTTTCTTAGAATGGTCAAAGTTTTTTTTGACGTCTCATTTATTATTGAAGCTACAGATGGTACCAAAATTAATATATATTTTTTATACTAGTTATGTATTTTTATCCAGCAACAATTAAGCATTAAAGATTTTTTTTGGGGGGGGGGGGGGGGGGGTAAATTCACATTTATTTACAAAAAAACACCATCTAAAGTACACATTACGGTTTTATTTATAAAAACCATAAATCAAGATAAAATATAGAAAATCAAATCTACAAGTAAAAATGAAGTTTCAGTTTCTAAACTCTGATCCAACTGTTTCTAGGACCATGTTTCCTGCTGCACAATGGGTGGTCAAATGAACTATTTCCTTAGCTTCAGTCGCAGTTTAAAAGTACTTTTCATATGCATAGCACAGAAGCAGCATTTCTTAAGTGACTAAAATAAGTTAAATATAATAAGAGCTTATTTATGTCCGATAGACGTCGAAACTAGACGTCTTTTAGACATCTATATTTACATGTCCGATAGACGTCGAAATTAGACGTATTTTAGACGTCGGAAAGTCCGTTAGACGTCTATCGGACATGTTAATACAGACGTCTTTTCCCGACGTCTAAAAGACGTCTAGTTTCGACGTCTATCGGACATAAATAGGCTCTTATTATATTTAACTTATAGATTAGAAATGCTGCTTCTGTGGTATGCATATGAAAAGTACTTTAAAACTGCGACTGAAGCTAAGGAAATGGTTCATTTGACCACCCATTGTGCAGCAGGAAACATGGTCCTAGAAACTGTTGGATCAGAGTTTACAAATCACTCCTTAAATTTTTTCATTTATCTTCTTTATTTAACACAATTTAAAGGATTAACAGAACAGTAGCGTAACACTGGTGGCAAAAACTAAAAAAAAAAAAAAAATCCACCTTCAGTACCTTTAAAAAAAAAAAAAAAAAACTTTAGAATTAACAGTGACCCACTGAGCAAGGAGACGTCTAAATGACGTCTTTTTTAAGTCGTTTTTGCGCGTCTAATTTGGGTCCCTCCCAGGTGCAGACTGTTACAACAGATGACGTCTTTTTCCGAAGGTATATTCCACATCATCTACTGGGGTTCATCCCAGGACCTTCGGGTTTAAAGTCGGCTGCTCTGCCGCTGCACCATCTGTGAGTCAAACAGCTAAAGAAACAGTTTATTTGACCATCTATTGTGCAACAGGAACCCACGCACTACAGGTACTAGGTTTACAATTAAATGAAGTGAAGCCAGTCCTGTCCTCCCTTCACTGGCTCGTACGAGGATTGTTTTAAAATTCTTCTGTTGACCTTCAAGTGCCTAAATGGCCTCGCACCCCTTTACCTCTCTGAGCTTCTGGAACCTTACGTTCCCTCTCGGGCCCTGAGATCATCCGATCAGCTGCTTTTGGCTGTTCCAAAAACAAGACTGAAGCTCAGAGGAGATCGGGCTTTTTCAGTCATGGGCCCCAAACTGTGGAACAACGTGCCCCCCAACATCAGGCAGGACACCTCCCTTCATCCTGCCCCCCAA